TCTTGGATGTTGTTTTCCTATTCTTTCTTTTGGGCAATGTGCACACTTTTCTCTTGATACTGATGTTACCTGTGGAGGATCTGGTTGCTTTCTGAACACTTCCAGGATTTTCTTACAGAGATCCTCCCTCATTGTCTGCAAGGAAGCAGCCTACATTTTCTTGCTCAGACTCCTCCTAATGCCATTTCATAAACATCTCATCACTTCTTATCATGTATATACAACATCACTTTGCAATTAGAATCATACCACTTCGAATGCAAAAAAAAGACACAAAATTACTTGAGGGTGAGTGCCATGAAAACTTGTCCAACATGACTGAAACAAAGGCAGCATGAAACGTTAGTGATAATTATTACTTCCAATTCTAGTATCTTGTTGAAGGGAATACTTGGGGAGAAAGGTAGATCAGACTTTGGCAACAAAACTTCCAAGAAGCCCAAGTTACAAGCATTTTAATTCAAAAGATGAGCACAACACTCACCCTTCAGAGATGGCAGGTTAACCTGAAGTGGCCACTCACTCCTGATGTTAGAAACAAAAAAACATTTTCATTAGAGGGTGAATGATCAATTGTGGCCTGAAGTGTGTAGCCAAAAATCAAGCTAAAAATCTGGACAGAATGAGGAGACCACTTGGTTGTCTAAAACTCTTCTGTTTACCTCACTTCATCTGTTATTCCTTTTCAGACATGCCTGGGAAGCTGCTTTCTCTGTTGTACACGGAAGCTCCATGGACAAGTCTCTCCAAACACAAGATAAGTACAGTCAAACTCAATTATAAATACAAAGGGACTGAGTGAAGTTGCTCATTATAATCATTATTTGCTATATTCATTATTGGTGAAATATATCTACATATTTTCATAAACATTAATAGATTAATGTGGAAAATAAAAAGAAAATTACACATATCAGACAGATTTTTTATGTTTCAATATCATAAATCTTAACAGCACCAATATTTGTACCATAAATAATTTTTGAGCAGTCATATGATAGACAATAAGTAGTAATGTCACCTTCTCTCTTTTCATTACTACTAGTTGTAATTGTACTAAAGTAACATCATTGTGTAACACAAGAAGGCATGAAACTGGAACTAGACAGAATAAACAAGAATTTTTGATATATAATAAAATTAACAGAACATAAATTAATGAAATGATATAGAATATATTTATAATTGAGTTTTGGGGAGGTTGAGTTGCGTTTCAATTTGTTTCAATACTACTTGCAACCATAACTTCATTTGCATAATTGCATAGAGATTTGAATAATCCTATTAATTCAATATTTAAGTCATATTTATAAATATAAAATTATATAGGATTTATTCTTATAAATAAGTCTTGGTAGATACCCAAATTAAGCAAAAATTTATTCCTTACAATCCAATAGCTACACAACAATCAGAAGTGAAATTCTGCCTGCTGCATTAGTTTGACATTGCTGATTTGCATACTAATGTTTACAAGAAATAAGATTATCTATAAGAATAAATCCTAAATAATTTCCTATTTATAAACATAACTTAAATATTAAATTGAGTGCAATTCTATTCATAATTCAAATCTTACTATGAAATTATGCAAATTAAACTCTAATTGGGAAGTGTTGAAACAGAAATTGAGATTTAACATTACTCAGCCCCAAAATTTTGAAATGATGAAACAAAATAGAAAAATAATGTAAGTAACTAAACATAGTAAGAGAATTTTTGATTTATTTCACAATACATTTTATATTTTCTTGATGATTTTAATTTAAAGTGAATTTGATAATTTGGTGCCCATACTCTTAACCCTTAAGCTGCATTCAGACAGACTCTTCTTACATTAAATTATGTCTGGGGAATCAAAGATGTTATTTAAGGCATTACAAATAATGCTGCCTTATATTGTCCAGATGTAACATAGGAAGAGCCTGACTGAATGCAGCCTTAATGATCATTGTCATCTCACAGATTATACATGTTGGTTAAATTCTATCTAGGTAATCCCAATGGCAGAGCTTCAGTTAGGTTAGATTAACTATATTTTTAGTAGATGTTTCCTGTTTTTTCTTTTGCTCAAGAACTACCGTGAATCAATAACTAGTGACGTTAAACACTTGGTGGCCTGCCGGCAGCTCCCCTCCAGGAGTAGTTCGTTAGAAGTGCAACTGTTGGGACAACCTAGGTAGACGTTGACCTATATGTTTACTGTTGTAGGATTTATCACCACTGTGACGTTAATGTTGTTTTGTGTAATTTTAAATTAATATGTGCTACACGGGTGAGTAGTATGCTTGTTATTTCTAGACAGTTTTTCATTTTCACAATTATAAAATTTAGAGTAATTTGAAAGACTGCATCATAACATTAGTATAACGCATTTTTTCATGTCTAAAATGGCTTCTTTATCTGGAGTTTGATGTGCAAATTTAAATTGTGATTTATTTATTGCTAAATTGCCAGGAAATTTTTAATTTGCCCCAAAACATAAATTAGAACTTATTGCCCTTAAAATGCAATAAATACTCACAAGGGGGCAATATCATCCAGGTTGAGAAACAACAATAATCTAATTTTCAAAGCAGATATTAAATTTTATTTGGAATTAAAATTTAGGTTAGTTTTGTTGCAAGCATAATATATCATTTAATAAATACATCTCTGTAAGGTATTATTTTTTATACTTTATTTTACAGCATATGTTTAGTATAACACAAATATTTAGGAAAAAGTATTTAGTATATTTACTAGTGATGTAACGAATATTCGGTTACTATTCGGTATTCAGCCTATGTTTTGCTATTTGGCCGAATACCGAATATTTAATCACTATTCAGCAAAAATCCAAATACCTAAAAACAGGAGTAAGAAACAACAAAAACACAGTAAATTAATCATTTTGGTATTTAGATTTAATGTTATCGGGTTAGTGTTGTTTGTTTATATTTGTTTATAACTTATAACATGCACAAAATAAAAAAGAAAATAATATTAGCCACATGTATTCACAATTTATAATTACAAGAATCAGCACATGTACACTATTCTGACCCTATTCGTTCGAGAATCATCACACATCTGAGAGTCTGACCCTGCCTATCCTTCTTTTTAAGCGCTCGTCTTTGCTCTTCCCTTTCTTTTTCCTCTATCGCTCTAGTCCACGTATGCCTATGCATACATCATTATACCTGCTCACGATACTTTCGATTTGTCACTTTTCCGTTGTAGATTTCCCATTTTACAATTACGTGACTCATAGCCTGGTGATAAAGGAGAAAAGAGACAGATAGGATGTCAAATTAAGTCATAGTTATGATTTCACATATTCGAGACAGCTTAGTAGCTTGAACAGCCTCAGGCTTTCGCCCGTGCACGCTAAGTGACTTTAATTACAAACATTTAGCTTTCTAAAGTCTATGAAAACAATTGTTTGGCATTGACGGCCGCAAATTTCGCGCCAATAAGCTGCCTCGACTTGTTCGATTATGTTATCAACTGAATTTCATATTTATTTTCACATTTTCACAGTACTTCTCTGTTCTTTTTCCGTTATTTACACGTGAAGGACTGTAAAAATGTGAAAATAAATATGAAATTCAGTTGATAACATAATCGAACAAGTCGAGGCAGCTTATTGTTATCCACATTTGATATCATCATTTATCACATACTGCCATGACGTTCTTGTCTGTCCACTACAACTGTCAAGAATTAACGCGATTGGCGAAACGTAGTGACAGTGGGCCAATAGAGAGCAGGGTCCTTGCCATAATGCAGTTTGCGCGCCAATTTTCATACGTACGTTAATCAAGCCGAATAGTTCGGCTATTTGGCCACACTCCTGGCCGAATATTCGGTATTCAGCCTGAGGCTGAATATACTATTCATTGCAACACTAATATTTACCTGTAGCCTACCAAAGGCTGTTTGGGGACTTCAGTATCATATCATTATCCTACAGGAGATTGCAACTTCACACATAAGATGCAAGGGGATTTTTTATTTAAAGTTGTGTCTTATATGCCATAAAATATAGTAACTTATAACGTAAAAGATAATGTAAAACATTGATTGAAACTTGTCAAAATAGGCACACATATATATGTACTTTAAGGTGTCTCTTATTTACTGACTTAAAAACTTTTGAATGTCTGCCCACCCAAGTTTTTCCTTTCACTCAAAAAATATGTCTATATTTAATTTCTTGTCAATTGATGAATATTAACCCATGTTGACTTGAGTGTCAATGTGTCAAAAACAAATCTGAACACACCAAGCTTTTCTCAGGCCTGGATTGGTCATTACATGTGGAGTACTGTCAGCTTGTGTTCAGTTCAAATTATCTCGTAATAAAATTTTGATATTAATATGTAATATTTCATTGAAATATAGAACTTTAAATATAGTAACTATCAGATTAGAAAACTCACATTTTGTAATCACTAAACGGTTTGGTCTCATTCTCGAACATTTCTCAGCCTTTGACAATTAAGTATTGTTTCAATAATGATTTTATTAACAATCCACGAAAAACCTTTTTTTACGAGTGTTATGTCACTATTAAATTCCACAAGTACTTTCGACCTCCACCGAGGTCTGCTTCAGGTGGTGACTGGCCGTGTTTTGACCCGACCATCGTAACGATGTTGCCAACGATGTAAATAAATAAATGTACGTCGGGTTTCACCCCTCCGACCGCCATTGCTCGAACTCCTCGAATAAATACTTCCACGCCTTGTGCAAGTGTAAAAAAAGGTTTTTCGTGGATTGTTATTATTCAACGCAGTGTTAAGTTGTTGGAAGTGGTTTATCTTAATGATTTTATTGCCTAATAATGTTTGGATATGTATTTGGCTTAAAATTTGAATTTTGTCATTAAAAATTACTCATTCAGTTTACTGTTTATCTATTTTGAGTTGTTTCAAGTTTAAAATAAATTGTTTCCAAATTGTTATTAGTTGTTAATTCCAACAAAAAAAAAAAAACAAATGTAATTAATTGCTTTCAATTGATTTATTTCTACATAATTTAACAATGCAAAAAGTGTTGATAGAAATTACTACAGTTACCCAGATAAAACTCTAGGTATTTTTTTTTTTTATTACAAAGGTAATTAATTCAAAAAAGACACTTCACATTTAACTTTTTGTAGTTAGTTTTTTAGTACCAAAATATATAATAGTGTTTGAAGCATCTTGATTTTGATGAAACTGAATTCAATTTTGTGCATTTCTATGATAAAATAGTTTATGAGGAGTGAAAATGTGACTTGTGAGGGATGAATTTCTTTCAAAAACCTGAAAAAAAGAAGTTTTATTTATTTATTGAGTAATGTTTATAAGAGTAATATATTAATTATAATTATAATTATCAGTATTTTTATACATAAATGTAATAATCCTTTTTTATTCTGTCTGGTGCCATATTGTGAAAAGTAATAAAGCAAGGCAATGCTGTGCAAATATTACCTCATTGTACTTCATACAATGTGAATAAAAACTTTGTTCTATTGTACCTTTTACAATTTATAATCTTTTGCACATTTGCAGCCTTGCACATTTTTATTTTTATGATAAAAATATTCAAAATAGTTTTAAGAAGGGTTTATTAAAAAAAAAAATGCAATTTGAAGCTGTCACTTGGCAATTCATACAACCATCTAGCTGTGATTCTAGTAGATGATATAAAATAGACCTTCTGTTTAGACAGATCTGTATTTTGATTGATTTTGTGAATGTGAAATGTACACTATAGTCTATGAAGATGGATTAAAATTTGCTAATTTTATAAGCAAGCGTTAAAAGCTTACAATGCTAACGATAACAAATATTAAGAGTAATTCTGTCTGACTTATTTTCACTAAGACATGTAAATGGAAAAAGTTTAATGAGAGCTTGTACGATAGATAACTTATGAACAATCAATTCATATTTAAAGAAATCCCAAATAATAATCAGTATAGTAGTCTTAAATTATTTCAGGGTCAGCAAAGAGATGGGCCTTGCCCCACCCTAGTACCATCCATGTTTTTATATGTATAATACAAGTAAGGCATTAATATTTTAATTGATAAAGTATAGATTTTTTCCTTCTTGTAATCAGACAATAGATTATTGCTTTTACAATATAATTTGTTCATGGAAACAAATTGTTGAGATTGCAATCATAAATTAAAATTCTACTTTAGTGTGCCTAGTCTCCAGTTATGTACTGTACATAACAACATGAATATGTTAAAAATGTCATAGTATGTACCCATTAAGTGAGATCATTCATTGAATTAATTTGTGTTGCATACATTTTCAATGTATATGTTGTTACTTATATAAATCAAATTGAAACTTCCTGAAAGTAAAATTTTATCATATTAAATTAGCTAAAAGAAAAAAAAAATAGCAATTTTGCACAAATTATACCAGTTATAAAAGCAGTTGTGAAGCAAGCAATTGTATGGTCTTCTGCAAGGCACTTAAAAGTATCCAACATATAAATAATAGTATATTTGTTAAATAGGCTTTAATTCATCAATATGTGAAGTACAAGCCTATTGAATCTAATGATTGGAGTGGCCAGTCAGATTTCCGATGGTACTTTACATACTACAATACTAATAATGGGACACTAGTATACTGACATGTATATCATGGTGCTCATCATGCCAAGAGGTTAAGTAATTGCTTTCCATTATTAATCTTTATTCCATTTTCAATAAATTGTTTTTGATGTTTCTATTTGCTGTTTTATCTATAATCATTAAAACTTGCCAGGTTTCCAACATTTTTTACTAAGGTGAAAGGGGTTCCTCAATAAAATTAACTTGGGAACGCTGGTCTACTGTATTACTTTTCAAGATTTAAAGAGATTATTAAAGAAAAGAAATGATGTTAAGAATCTCATGTTAAATATTACATTCTATAAATAATAAATTCAAAATTACTTTAGGAACACTTCGGCATTTCACATTTCTCTACAATTTCTTCAGTTTTTGGGCAATTTATGTGACTTATAAATGAATACAAATCTTCAGTTAATTGTTGAACACATATGGCGTATCTAGTTCTTGTTCCATTTCCGCACGTGACTGAGCAAGGTGTCCAATGTCTAATTTGCCATCTAAAAATTCAATTTCGATTTTTATAATTTTTTAAATTGACGATTATATTTGCATAATATTAATATAATAAATACATACTTTCCTACACAAGGATGCATATTACATTCTTGAATTCCCGATTCCATTGGTTTTATGATTGATTCACAATATGCACTTTCGACAGGTACATTTTCTCTGACACAAAACATGCTAACATTTCTGATACCTGAAATTGTATGAAATTGAAATATATTGCAAATTGGTCACACAAAAGCATTGGCTGGATGCATAAAATTCCTTAAAGGCTGGTAAAATTATGAGAATGATGTCACTTATCAATTTAATAAGTCATTTGATTATTAGTTTTTTTGTTATTAATTGTTATTTTATATAAAGCTAATGCATTATTTCTATTGATAAATGATGTGGATTACTGCAAGCACAACTTTACCAACCATTAACCTATTTACGTATCCAGTCCTCTCTCTCAAGTGGCATAGCGTGAAAGTTGAGACATACCTCCTCCACAAGGTTCTGAACATTCCGACATTTCAATGGCCCACCTATATGTATACTTATGAAAATTTTGAGTTAAGAGTTTATATTTAATCCACTTCTTTCTTTTATTTTGATCTATTGCATATTTATTATTCATAAACAAATTTTCTACAGAATTTTCTTGTTCTGATGTATCACGTCGATGTCTGTAATATTTGAATAACTTTTTCACTTGCAGAATACTATTATTATCTAAAAATAAATAATTAAAATAATTTTTATAAATAAAATAATTGTAAATTTTAATGATACAGTATATTGTTCTTACCTTCAACTTTCGGAACATTATTCTCGTCAAATTCCTAAAAGTCACATTTATTAACATCGTGTTAATAGAGAATTTTTATGTAATTATGTACACTTACCACACACTTTCCATTAAGACAATATGCCTTTTTTCTATAATTTCCACCACTGCAATCTGTCCCAGAAGGAAATTTACCATCTTCGAATGCATCCATTTGATAATGTGTACCTTGCCAGACTTGATCTTGACAAGCAACAGTACAAGCTGCGTGAGGATTACCTAGAAAATAATCATTTTTATTTATGGTATCTTTAAATAAATGTTGCTGCTTAAAATAGTAACAAGTATTTTAAGAGACCGTATAATTACCCGAACGAGGTGCTAGCTGTCGACCCTTCCCACTTAATACTGTAGGATATCTATTTCTATACTTTTTACATAAGTCAGTTGCGTATACCTCTGCAGATTTCATGACTGTACACTTCTATAAGTTAAAATGCTAAATAATCACAATGATGAGCATAAATTGTGATATGAATAATTAAACTTCAACTTACACTATTGTTGTCACACAGTTGAAAAGAGTCACGTACTCCTGTGCATCCTGTGCTAAGAGAATTACAAAAATGCTATTTATAGTTTAATATTTTTTATATAAATTAATTAAAAATTAAAGATATATATATTTTACAATATAATAGTCTATATTTTATAGTTTTGTTATACAAAAGAGAGGGGCTTAAAAGTACTGGTAACGTAACTTTTGATAATGAAGTTCGAGAAATCATTTGTTTATTAACTTTTGATAATATAGTAGTTCGAGAAATCATTGTTTAAAATTTGTGTGTGATAATATGCAAATTTAATAATTATAAAATAGTATTTTTGGGATGAATATATTTTATGATGATTCATTCACTGGATTTGGCAGTGACTGCAGACTATAAAAAAATAGCTATAAAAAAGGCATCATAAGTACATTATGCAAGAAGATACCTGTATAATCTATGTTAATCAAGGGATACCTTGATTAATGCAGATTTCCTGGATTCCTCAATGCTATTGCATATATCAAAATTGCATTAATCAAATATAGTGGTACCTTTTTGGGTTTTGACCAAGCAGTTCGACCAGTAGAACAAATTTTCACATAATAAATATTTTTATTTTAATTTTGTCATCAGTAAAATTTTTGTGATAAAAATGAGTAACTAATTTAAAAATAAAATGAAACCTTAGAGCTCCCTTGGGGATTAAGTAAAGAGCAACATGACGACAAGGGGGTGCACATGCTCCAAGTACCCCAATGTACAGGTACCTGACTGAATTGCATACTTCAGAAAAAATTGGAGAAAAGTGGAACCTGTGATCTCAGAAGGTTCAAAATTGAGTAATTAATTGAGTTACTTCCCTTTCTATGCTTTTGGTGAAAAGATTCCATTTACTAGATAGGTAAGACTTCTGAAAAACATGATACAATAGAGAAAATCTAAACCTGGAATATATGCTCTTGCAGAAGATATTCAGGTTTAAATTTCCTTTATGATTCCATTCTTTTTATAAGCTCAAAAATACCAAGAAACATGACACTTTATCTGTAAAGGTGCTTGGAAATTAAGAGAAAACATGACGGGAATATTTTCTGAAAAAATTATTTTCTATAATTTAGATTTTTAAAATATTTTGTAAAATTTAATTAATAATTAATTGAATTTTTGGGCATAGATATATTCATTTAATTTGAGACTTTTATGTTTTTATATATTAATATATGCTTTACAAGTGATATAATAATGATATACATCATTTTATGAAACAGAACTAATTATCATTTAACATTTGATAGCTTTAATAAAACAAAAATATTTTATATTTTAAGTATATTTTTAACCTCATTCTGTATAGGATTTTAATCTGTCAACAAATTATTTTTACTATGCTTAATAATACAATTGAAATTTTGAATTTGGGAATGTTATAAAACAATTCTTCAGTGCTCCTAATAAGCACTGCAGAATTGCAGCATTACCTAAGAAAAAATAGTCAAAAAAATGTCTGTTTTTTTAAAATATTGATTATATAAATTATTATATATAATCAAAATTATTTTACTACTACTGATTGAAACAGTAAACAGAATAAAAATGATCCTGTTATGCCATCATAAAGTACATATTTTATGTAAAGTATGTGGTAATTGTTACTTAACACCTCTACATTTATAATCATGAACCACCACAGATAAAACCTCAGAATGTTTAAAATATGAGAATAAATCCATTAATTAGAAACAGTTATTATATTTGCTCGGTTTGTGCTGGTTTGAGCTTTGGTTACTTTGTAAATGTAATCTAAATTCTCTTTTATCTATAAAAACTGTAGAAAATCATACACGGTGTTGCATTTTCTGCTGACTAAAGTGAATCCTTTTCCTGCTACTATGCAAGAGTGCTTGCATTCACTGATCTTCTTCCAAGGACTCCATTCTGTTATGTGCCTTGTAGCCAATGTTGGTCGATCTGTAAAAGAAATCCTTTAAGAATGATTCAATATCAATCTACTTTAATTATATTTTTATCAATTTAGTTACTTACTTGGGCAGGGAGTCTCATTAGATGTCTCTATAGTATAGCCATTACAGTCAAAGGTCTGATTTAGGTATATTCAGTTGTTAAACATACAATAAAATTTCTATTTAAACATTCCTAATTAAAAATAAAATTTAATCTTACATTACATTTTCCTTGAAAACAGAACTGATTTTGAGGATGATACCCTCTCCAACATGGAGTTCCATCAGGTAATTTCCAACCATGTGTAATGTAACCACCCTGTTTCTTGTGGCACCATACATAGCATGAATGAGAATCTAATAAAGATGAGAAATATAACAACTGATTTATAATATCTATAATATTTAATAAAGTGTACTCACTATCATGACTCGGAAATTGGGTTCCTGAAGGATCTAAAGTTGTATCTAAATGAGATGCTTGCTGACAAGTTTCGCTGATGTATTCAGATAATGTCACAGCATTAGCAGCTGCTGAACAAATCTGTTTTGAAGGAAATTTGTTTCAACACCATTTAAAATAAATTAATAATTTAAGAGACTTGATGCTTACTCTATTAGCATCGCAAATTCTAACTCTTCTATCTGCTCCTTGACAGTAACGACCACCATTGACAGGGCTATTTAAATAATTAGAGAAGAATATATTTATTATTATAAAAGGTATTAAGTTTTTCAGTCAAAAATTTAAAAAAATCTAAGGAAAAAGCTAAAAAAAAAAATAGATTAATGCATAATAACAGAATAAAATTTGAATTTCTTTATTATTTACATGAAATGATTGTTCAGTAGAAGTGCCATAGTTTCATTAAATTATATTTAATTATTTATGTAGAAAAAAAAACTATAAAATTTTGTTTTAAGTATGATGCATTTCTTTAAACATTGTTCCATTGTTTATAAATAGTTAAATCAATGTTGGATAATTCAGTAAATTCATCTGTTAAGCTGTTCAGCCATTCAATATAACATTGAATCAAATATGTTTTCAAGACTTCCTGGACTCAAGTATCAGATCAGATCTAATGGTAAAGCCTATGAAGCTTTAACATTAGATCTGATGTTATTTCATATTAAAGTATCTGAAGCAAATGAAGTGTTAGCCTATTATTTCAGAGGGCTCAAAGTTTGAGTTTTGATTGGATCCACAGAAATTTTCATAGATGATTTGGTTTGGATTATCAGGTCCTGTTCTTTATTGCCCTGTTGCCTCATTTGCAAACCTGGCTAAATCCATGATGGGCTTGTTATAAAAACCTTTCTACTGAACTTAGAGTAGCAAGAGTTTTAAAAAAATTTAACTTGAATGAAAAATATTAAACTAGATTAAATTGTAGATTTCATTGTTTTCTATTTAATTTTGTTTTAATTTTGAGTATGTATTTATTTCTGTATTAAATTTTTGGATTTGAATTATTTTGTTGACAATTCTGCACTCAAAACAAATTCTAAATCCATGTAATCAAACCTTTTCATTGCCTAAAGACCATTCGGTTCATTACAATGAATACTGAAACTTTCCAAATAATTCAAATAATGACAAAATGAATTTTATTGGAGCTCACTTAGATATAAAGAACAAGCAATTATTTATTATGACATCATCACAATGCTGGGCTTCAATTTTTAATAATAATAATTTATTTAATTTAAAGTTTATTCTCTCCACCTCAAATTAGTAGTGTTTTGCCTCTGTACATCATACTTCTGCACTAGCAATAGAGTTGTGCTAGTCATCTAACTAACTCCTTTCAGGGGAAATTTTTGAATTGAAATAACATGACTTGTAAAAACCAGAAGTTCATATATATAATCATGGTCTCCTGTCCCTAATATTTTTCTATCTGATCTCGACTTTTATCTATCCAACTCCATTCTTGAGATTAAAGGAGGATGGATGGATGACAGTGGGAATTTATGTAATATTGACTAGGGTTGAGAATATCAAAGAAATGGTGGTGAAAATAAATGAGAATTAGTTTGAGGGACTAAATAAGTATATAAATGTAGTGTGAGCAGTATCAGATTTTCCATTAGGCCCATCAGGCCTAGGGGGTGCCAGAAGGGAATTTGGGGCTAAAAAATTCAAAATAATAATAATAATAATAATAATAAAATAATGAAAAAATAATTTTATGTAGAAACAATTCATAAAGGTGTAGAAGTCATTTAATGAAAATGGTACAATCAGAGCTAAGAGGATTCTAAAAAAAAGGAGCTTCAAACTTTTTTAACAAAACAATGTCTGTATAATCTAATTGGTACAGGAAATCTGATTGGAAGCACAGAGAACTTGAAATTTGTGTGTCAAATCAAAAATCCAAATGCATTAACTTCAAAGACTTTAACATTTCTACATCCTGAAAATTGAGATATAACTTTTATCATTTGTTTTTCTTGTACTTTTACATTTGTGTTTCCCTTATTTATTCTTGTAGTGATTGTATTTGTTGTATAATGCATGTTTTATTTTATAGTATTTCTACAATCATTTAAATATTTATTTGGTTAACTTTTTGTTGTTGTTAGTTCTTTTCTATTTTTGAATATATTGCTGCATGTATTTGAAAATTCATATCAATCTTATATTTCAAACATGTTACGTGAGGTTGACCTTAAATAAATTGAAAACGTTTGTAATTAATCATGTTTACTGGAGTCAAAAAGTTTGTTTTTGTTTTCTATCTAGTCTCCAGTTAAAAACTGTATGATTCTTAGTATAGAATATTGGCCCATCAGTCTGATTTTAAATAATTTTTATCAATCAATTAAGATGGAAAAGCTAATTCTCAGTTGATAGACTTGAAATGTGACCTTTTGGGAAATGAATCCAATACTAGTTAATTGAATTAGAATGTTTCCATTATAAGTCAAACCTTGCCAGATTAATTTTGTGCATATTGGATTTCAATCATATAGAAAAGAAAAAGTTAAAAAATGAAATCATGGAAGAGGGGAAGAAATTATACATCATTCCAAAATACATGTTCAATAATAAATTATATAAATAAAGTCGTCATCATTGAAAACCTTTGGATATTAGAATTGCTGTTTTGAAATTCTTAAACTTGCTTGTAAGAATTAGAGAAAAGAAAGAAAATGAAACATGTACAGTACATTTGCATTTGTACAAATTGAGAGTTGAGTTATATGTATATCTGTAAGAATATAATGAAATTTCTGTCTTTGAAGAATAAATCATCAAAAATGATTGAAAATATGCATTTTCTCTTAATAGAATTAAAGAGGAAGTAAAAAATCTGTAGTAGAGTAGATGCAGTCTGCAAGTCTGAGGTTAGACAATAAAGTTAATTTTTTGGCACATTATTATTGATAAATAAAATGAGAAGCAATACTATTCAATGTATTAAATTGCTAATACTGTTGTCGAAAAATAATTCCTTCACTTAGCATCAATCCCTCACTTCATATTAATTTATAAATAATTTATTTGTTCATTTATTATATTGTAAATATAAATTGTACTGACAATGTCTCTTATAGTTGCAAGATGCACTTATCTGCATATGCTAGCAATCACTTTTAGTATAATTGTTCATATGTAACAAATGAGCAATTAAGTAATCATAAATGCCAGTATATTTATATACTAAAAAAATATTTTTTACATATCATCAGTACCGTGGATTGTTGCATCGGCGTGTAGAGATCATTACTCCAACAGCATCGGTGTTCCTACTTGTCGAACAATCTGACGAACATGGCCCAAAATTAGACCAAGCACTCCATCCGCCATCCACTGGTCCGGCTCGATTCCTTCTCCAATTTGCCGTAGTACATTTTCCAGCTTGACACATCTGAAATGTTAATAAAAGGAAAAAACTCTATATATATTTGTGAAACTGAAGCTAAATATTAAATTTAGACTCATGTTATCTGATAATCTCTAAGTCAAATTAAAAAGTCAAGTGTAAATATTAGTTTACAGTATCATTCAGTTATTATTAGTTTATCTTTTAATTAATTAAGTAAATGTGTTTGCTGGAAGTGCAAAGATGGTGCTGAGAGTTAAAGGTTAATCATAATTCCAGTTATTTGTTTGCCACTTATATTATTAATTTATAAAGTAAAACAGAAAATGCCATCAAATAATCTCTCTCAGGTATATTTTCAAAATCAATAACTAACATAATCAATATCATTATATAAAATGTTTATTGCTATTTTTATCGTGATAAAAATTTTAAAAATTTTCCAACACCAGATGGAAGATTTTAAAAGTTTTACATATTGAGGCAGACGAGTAGCCTCTAAAAAAAGGTTAACTCTGCCGTGGAACTGTTAATTACCTCGTATGTACAAAAAGACAAAGTTAGAAGACATTATGTATTGTCTATATTAAGAATTTTTTTTAAATTTGTAAATTTATCATCAATAGCATTATCATCATAATGCTTTGTGACAGAATCTCTCATCAGTTCTCCTATGAAAACAAACAAGGAACAGGTCCAACCGTGGCTGGACCACTTTTTGCTGCCAAATAATATGAATACAATTCTAATTTCAATTTATCTGCTAGCATGTAACACTGTCGGAGTTGAAAATTCTGTTGAAATTATATTTCTTTTTGGAAGATTCCAATATTTTGGATTTATTAATAAAACAGATATTGATTATGGTTACTTGAGACAATTGCTACTAGTGAGTGCTTATAATTTAGGGGAATATGTACCATAAATTTAATGGGTTTTAGAGACCTTGATGATTGGTATTAATTTTTTAATGGCTAAAAACTGTATCAATTTTCTGATTTAACATTCTTTTACTGAATAAAACAGATAATTAAATTAAAAATACAGTAAACTCTCAATTATCTGGGATAAAGGACAAAAATGTCATCTCAGTCAAGCCAATATCATTTAAATTCTGTAATCATAAACAGAACAGGTAAATATCTGCACTATTTACTGGTATTTTTAAAGAAATATGAAGAGAACAAAACATACAACTTCTTCAAATTGCCAAAATGTCCAGCTTATTATGAATAGCTCCTTTCTTCTCCTTTCGAACAATAGCCTAGAAAGCAAATGAATCATAAAGCAATTTGCGATGTCAAAAATGCCTATAGATGTGTCATTAAATCATCCTGACAAATCTGCTTCTTACTTAATGCAATCCAGGATAATTGAGAATCTATTGTACTGTACAGTATGTGCTTTTTTTTTTATCATTTATGATGCAACCTGCAAACATTTTATTCCAAATTGTCCCTCATAGAAAAAGCTTGCTCATTGTTGAATGAAACTATAAAATTTTTTAAATAGTTGAAACATGAATCTTTTATTTTTAAGAAATCTTTTACATGTGTGTTTGCAGATATAGAGATTTCAATTCTTTATTAAAATTTTTTAAAAATTATCTGCTTTTTTTATCAATAGGAATTGAACCTTTCTTTGTGGTAATGAAAATTATCAATTAAAGCAATTTAGGTTTACAAGTTTAGTTATTATATTTAGATTTTTTCCATATATCTTACAGGTTTTTCATTTAATATATCATATACTTACTTTATTTCTTCCACAGACTGTACCTTCTAAAGCGGGATGAGCAGTAAAAGATACATCTTTCCCACCAAATCCCACATCGCAACGTAACATGTAACAGATATCCTGTAAGAAAAATAATGCAATTAGATATTTGTTGTTGATATTTAAAAAATTACAAGTTACAGTGACAGGATGGACATAGTCTGGACACTGATATAAATATGCAGGCAAATATTGAGAATGGATGAAAATTCTCCATCCTTGATATCTTTCTGATGATTCCATAAGGAATCCCCAGTTCTTAGGATGCACAGTGAGTTGATTTCTTTGAGCTACTTCTTAATTCTGCTATGATCTGTTCTTCTGTATCAGTTGGTATGGTTAGTCATCCAGAATAGGATTTATCCAACACAAACACACACACCACACCACACTGTCTGTTTGAATTTTCTTTAGCATATCCCCCAGATGATTATTCAAAGAAAAGGGTTTATTCAGTAAATATCATCAATATTAATAATATGAAGCACTACATCACAAATGAATATACTAAGATTAATGGAGATACTCTATTACTGCATCACATTCTTGTCAGTTTAGCAGAGATTGTTGAAATGTGCATGACTAATGATGGAAACTATTGAAAAGGCAAATATTTTTATTTGTAATGAAGACTTGTTAGTTTTATTGTTTTGTTATTGCTTATATATTTAAAACAATGATAAATAATAAATGAACAATGTTTTAATCAGTTTTTTTAACTTCAAGTAATTATACAGTGACTGTAAATTTTTTATGAGATACATTCTGTGCTAGTTGGGAATATTTTAATAATAAATTCAGTGACTGATGGATTTGATATAGTATGGCTTTTTCAGAATCCAGATTTAACAACATGGTATTTGATTTAAAGCATTATGAAAGGAAAGTTTCTCAAATTCATCTTGTAACAATTAAAGATAAGTAATCTTTGATAGTTGTTTTATAAGTGTTAAAAAAGATGGTAACATCCAAAAATTTGTGCAGAGAATAAAGGAATGCATATAACTTCTAAGTAGCAATTACAGAGATACTGTAATAATAATTAAAACACTGCAAGAAAAATCTTCATACTACATCATTACATCAGAAGTAAGCAATTAAATAATTTTAAATATGTGGTAGTATTAGGTTTGCCAACCTTCTTCTATTGAATTATATTGGCCTCCTGTTCTCCTTTTTTTTTTATCAATGATATATCATCCTATTGAGTACAATTTAACTGTTTAATTTTGATCCTAAAATGTTGATAAGATTGATATTAATAGTATAAGTATTTAAACAAGACCACCTCCAAAATAAGCACCTTCTGTAACTACAAAACTTTCTTATCCCTATTAAAAATGTCTTGCAACCCATTCTGTACTTTTAGCAAAGGCATGAAAGTCTGTGGGAGTGACTTTTGCATCATCATCAAAATAAAAGCTCTGCTATTAAAAATTTAAATTAGTGAAAAGTGCTACAACAGTTGGACTTAGTAACACAGAATAGGTTGCAAGATTGTTGTAATAAATGACAAACGTTGCAACATGTGTAGCTGTAGAAGGTGCTCATTTTGAAGGTATTCTATACATATCAAAATCCCAAAACTACTAAAATTTGTTACATGCCTCTGAAGATTGTATTGTGGATTTTCTACTCCCTTCTCCATATCTTAACTGACATTGTTTATTAGCATCATATTCTTGTCCTGGAAGCAGTACGGGTGATAGTTTTTTGAGCATGTTGACACCGGAGTTTGTATACTGAAGACAACGTGATTGAGATGACCTAAAGAATATATATATACTTATTAATTTCCTGAATATTGTGCTATATATCCATTAATTAAATAAATTTACCTCAGGAATTTTTCTAAATATTCTCTACTGCAAGTGGACCATGAAGTTTTTCCAGGACCTAATGTATGCGACATGATATATTTTTCTGGATCGCAGTGGTTATCATCCTGACGTCCATCATGCTCCATCCCCATACTGTAATAAATGATTATTGAACCAGCTTTAGAAGCACTTTTGTGCAAGAAAGAACTGTACTTACCTATGTCCAAACTCATGTCCCACAACTAACACTGTTTGAAAACTTGTACCTTCACTGATGGTACAGCTATTGAGAGGGTTACACATTCCGCTAACTGGAGCAAGGCCTGGTGACAATAATAGTTTTTATTCATCTTTTTGCAATAAATATACAGTATATAATATACTTTATAACATTGGTAATGTCATTTGATTCTGAACCATGAGTTTTAGATAGCCTAGAGTGCCATAAATCTAATTGTAGAAGATTATACAATTCCTACCAAACTTATGTATCCTATTCTTATCTCAACTTATAAAAAATCCTATAAAAACATACATATGTTTTATGTTATCTCATATATTAAAAATATATTTTTTAATGTTTAAAATTAGTTTTAACGGATGTTGTTCTTTATTTTTGTTGTATTGAGGGCAGCAATTATTGTCCATGACATTGCCTATATTAATAAATAGAGAATAGATGATTGTTTGATGAGTAATTGAAATTTTCTTAAAGATAATTTCTGAATCCCAGTTACATATTAAATAAGAATAGCTTAAATTTACATTTAATGCATATGTAAATAATATGCCCATTCACAAATGATAGGAATTGTCTATTTCCTAAATAAATTTCGACTTTAATATATCATTTATAGTGTTGGTAGAGTGATTAAACACAATAATTTAACAAATAATTACTGTATTGAGGATAACCAAGCTTTGTTTTTTTTTCTTTATTTTTAAATATGGCAGTATATTTTGCAATGAAAGTGAAATTTTTTAAATTCCTTGCACATTATGAGAACTGAAATGGCCATTTTTAAGTTGTCAGACCCAGATGTTGAAAGAAAGAATCAAAGATATCCAGATCACTACCTATGAGATTCCGATCAGGACTCAAGTCCCTCAGAGCTGAAGCCAATCGATACCTTTATATGTCTTAGCCACCCATACATCTCTTCCTAAAGTTCTCTCTCAAAAACGAAGTTTATAATTTGTAGTATATTAAGTAAAGGATTTTAAAAAGCCATCACCATAGATTCCTTCTAAATTTTTGCAACATTAACAAAGTTAAAATTACATACTTACCTACAACGTGCTTCTTTCTTCTTCCTAATTCATCAATCACGTACATATTAATACTAAAATATACATGATTACTTTTTTATATTCTCTGTTATCTCCTCTACTGTTTTTTTTCTAAATGTATGATATTTATTAAACTCACCCAGAAAGAAGCAAGGCATGATCCCACCAGACTCTGCTCTTCTTTCTCTTCTTTAATTGCCAAATACAGAAATTGGTTAGATAAGTATCGATATTTTCCGAAGATTCCAAATCCTCCGGCTGCGTTTTCAATATGTTCAGTTCCACTAGTTTAATTTCCGGCATATGTCCCAAAGACGGTTGGCGGAATAATATCTGAACCTTCAGAAAAGATTCATATATTAAACCGTGAAAAAAACAACTAGAATTTAAAAGGTATAAGAGCTACTTACTGCATTCATCATGGTGAGGATATACTTGATAATTTGCTGTTCGGAGTTTACCGGAAATCTTATTTTGAGATTTTCATATAAAGGCTGATCTATAAATACTGCGGTTTCTATAGTTGGATCTGGTGGACTTGGAGAACGTATGTATCTGTGGTGTAACATTCCCGTAACATTATATACTGGGTTCTTAGCAGCTTGAGCATTTCTTTTTCGAGCTGCTGTTTAAATTATAAAACAACTTTTTAATTCACATATAAAATTGTTATAAATTTTGAATAAGCAATTAAAGTTGAGAGATTCTAAGTTTTTCATAGAACCTCTCAACTTTAATCGAAAGCACCAGATTCCAATGTAAATTTGTGGAGATAACTATTTAATTATAGATACAAATGATGAAATAATTTAGTAAACCTACCATGTGGACAGAAGTATTCCTCATTTTGCTGTTTTCTTACCACCAAATGGGGTTTTCCTCTTTTGCCATTCCATCCCATCTTCTTTATAAGGTTTGCAGAAAGAGGCTGTATTATGTAGATTCCATTCTCAATTTGAATTATTCCTCTCTAAATTTTGGAGAATTATTCCATTTATTAATTAAAGATTTCAATTACTATATTTTAGATTGGCATATTACTGTTCTTACCACTCCATCACATAAGGATACGGCCACTCTGCTGTTTAGATGATACTTGGACTTTCCCTCGTACAGGCACGTATCGTTTGCATCCCAGGTAAGATCTGCTCTGTTTCTAGAAGTGGTTTCTCTGATGGTGAAGTCTGACGTTAGTAATTTGTCATTTTTTCTCAATTTCAGATGGAAGAGTTCTTCGAGAGCTTTGAAGATGAGTAAAACAGAAGAGTTCTGCCTCAGATAATTATCTTTAATGAAGATGACATGGTGTGGAGGTACTAAAAAGTAAGTTTAAAATTCCTTATTGTCATACTTTTTCTGTTTTTATTATTATTGTATTTTATTATATATATTTTTTTATTATTATTATATTTAAAAATGCTCTATAATGAGTACTACAGTATATTTTTCTCAAAAATGAGTTAAATTGTTATAATTTATCCTTGTGTACCATACATACAGTATACAGTTGGGTCTTGTTTTATGTGAATGGCAAATGGTTGTGTTAATTCACTCCTACAGCTATCGAATCCCACTCTTAATTTAGTAAACTGTACTTCTTCATCTTCTGACATTCTGAACACAAAGAACAGTCACCCTAATATCCTGCTTACAGGTAACTTCCTAAATTAGTGTTCACACTACAGTTTTCCCCTTTTTCTTTCCTACCAAGAGGGCTTTCTAGGTAAGCCCATTATGGGTTTGACCCAGCCTACAATAGGGTGTCTAGGTGACAAAGGACAGGGCTCGTTATATCCAGATGGACAGACCACTCCCATGAAAAATTCCGGAAGTTTTTAATCCAGAACCCAGGGGTTTGTTCCAGTGGTCTGGGCTCAAATCCGTACAGATTTGATCCCAGACCATCGGAGCAGTGGGCTGCCACTTTATCGCTCGGCCATCTGACCATCGAACACAACAAAGTATAAAATTATGCTGTTTACTCAGAAATAACCAAGATGTTTTACAAACATCAGTAAAATGTTTTTAAACACAATTTAACGTTAATTAATGATTGCATAAGTGTCTAGACAATTGTCTGAGACTACATGGGGGTGGAGCACAGATATTCGCGGAATTTCGTTTTATGGCTGCATACACGACACGCAATCACCACGTGAAACGAAACCATACTGGGTGCTTTGTCTGATAGTTGCTTTAACATATACAGCTGGATAAGCAAACCAATAACGTAAGCCGTTTCATTTGAAACAGAGTATGTTATTGGTTTCTTATCCAGCTGTATTAAGCCACTTTAAAGGCCGTGTCCCAAATTTATATTCATATTAGGAAGGAAAATTTTATTAACAATTAGTAAATAANGATTTCCTGGATTCCTCAATGCTATTGCATATATCAAAATTGCATTAATCAAATATAGTGGTACCTTTTTGGGTTTTGACCAAGCAGTTCGACCAGTAGAACAAATTTTCACATAATAAATATTTTTATTTTAATTTTGTCATCAGTAAAATTTTTGTGTAAAAATGAGTAATTTAAAAAATAAAATGAAACCTTAGAGCTCCCTTGGGGATTAAGAAAAGGGCAACATGACGACAAGGGGGTGCACATGCTCCAAGTACCCCAATGTACAGGTACCTGACTGAATTGCATTCTTATTTTAATTTTGTCATCAGTAAAATTTTTGTGATAAAAATGAGTAACTAATTTAAAAATAAAATGAAACCTTAGAGCTCCCTTGGGGATTAAGTAAAGAGCAACATGACGACAAGGGGGTGCACATGCTCCAAGTACCCCAATGTACAGGTACCTGACTGAATTGCATACTTCAGAAAAAATTGGAGAAAAGTGGAACCTGTGATCTCAGAAGGTTCAAAATTGAGTAATTAATTGAGTTACTTCCCTTTCTATGCTTTTGGTGAAAAGATTCCATTTACTAGATAGGTAAGACTTCTGAAAAACATGATACAATAGAGAAAATCTAAACCTGGAATATATGCTCTTGCAGAAGATATTCAGGTTTAAATTTCCTTTATGATTCCATTCTTTTTATAAGCTCAAAAATACCAAGAAACATGACACTTTATCTGTAAAGGTGCTTGGAAATTAAGAGAAAACATGACGGGAATATTTTCTGAAAAAATTATTTTCTATNTTTGAGTTTGCGAAAATTGATTAAAGATGGCGACACCGTAGGCAATTATATTATTATTTTTTTAATAATGAAATTGTTATGAATCGGAGCAATTGTATTGTTCTTAAATCTTAAGATTTCTACGCTTTATATGTCGTTATTTTGTTGGATAAAAATTGATAAATGCCATTGATTGAACAATTACTACTAGGAAAATATCTGAGATAATCTGTCTAGAATTGATATTCTATTTTAGGAGAGATGATGATTCCGTTCGAGAATTAAAACGGATATTTTTGAATCGCCACAAAGCGTTGCTTGAACCTCTCCAAAAGAGGCGTTTGAATTGCTACAAACGAAAATATAGCTAAGCGCTATTTGAACCGGATTAAAATTATTCTTAAACGATATAAGAAACTGTATTTGAATCATCCGTAATTCATTCATGGTTTTATAGTTTAAGTGTCGATCGTCCTGAAATCTAATATGCAGATCGCAATTAAATTTTATTTCCGGATGAGACCTTAACTCTTACGAATCTTTTTTTTTTTTTAATGGCGAATTTAATTATGATTTATATTTTTATTTCTATATTATATCAATCATAATTGATGATAATTTTTCGTGTTGACCGACTTCTAAGAATCTGAGAATAAAGATAAGAGAATTTACGAGTGGAATTTTAAGTTCCAATGGGAATTTTTTCAGTTCTAAATACCTAGCATTTATTTTTAATTTTTTAAAATAAAAGTTTATAAATAATATTCCGAAACAGTCTTCAGATCCAATAATATTGAGCTATTGGACCTGAGGGGACTGTCTTGCGCCATTGGATCTGACTGAGGACTGTCCTGTACTATTAGATTTTTAGAAGTTTTGTTAGTAGTACTGTGCCCGATAATCGATATATCAAACCAAAACCAATGTGTTTACATTATCGATGTATCGAAGGAATCTGTATATGAAGCTCGTTATCGATATCAAAATTTATAAGTTACGGTTCATTTCATTGTTATGGCAGATAGCGATAAAATTTTAATGCTCTTTCTATGGAAAAATCCTTTTCCAAAAATTCTCGAAATGGAAATAGATAAAACTAATTTTTGGAATAGCATAATTAAAATTAGTTTCCTCAGATATGCAGTTTCTAGGTACAAATTCAGCAAAAGCTCTCTTTTCGAAAGGGCATATTTCAGATTCGGATCCTTTCTAGATACAAGTCATACGTATAGGCTGTTTCTGTATGGGTGGACCCTTCAGATTCAGCCCAGCAGTGGTCGAATAGATATAACCACTGAATCCTGGTAATTGATCGCGGGTTCGCTCTTGACCATGGACTGTCCACGTGAAGTTTTACGGATCCCTTGTCATTTGTAACGCCTTAACGGGCCAGTTAACAATAGAAAAACCTACCAGGAGTCATCTCCCCTTGGCAGATCACGTATTGCGTTGACTTATCCCACCAAACCAAATCCTTAAGATTCAGACACCTTCTAGGCAAAAGCCATACTCTCAAAAGCAGTTTTTGAGAGTAGGGCCTATAAGATTTAGGCCATTTCTAGGCATAAACCGTACATACAAGCAATTTCTGGAGATAAATCTTCAGATTTATGGCCTTTCTAAACCTGTGTGCATTGATTTATTCTAGAGTTAAAGCCATAGAATAGCATTCGGTTTGGATAAACCGCGCTAGCGTTACGACAAATGATAAAAAAGGAAATGTTTACGGTTACTTAATTTCCGCACTCGTTAGCCGGTTGTTTATAAAAACGAAGGGAAACAACTCGCAGTCTATTAATAAAGAGAATAATTAATTGGCCAGCAAAACAGCAGATGGGTTAGTAACACAATAAAGGTTTATTACTCCAATAAGGAGGGGATTTTTGTTTACTTTTATGCATGACGTCGCATCCGTGATGTGGAAGAAACGTTTCCTCCTCCTCCTAAAACTGAGAAAATAGAAAAGGGGGAGAGAATTTTTCGAATTATTTGACTTTGCCTTGACCCAAATACTGTTTTCGAACGGGATGTTTAGTGAGATTCGAAACATGGGGGGATTCTATTAAAAATACGATCGTAAAATCGAAATGATGTCGTTTTACTTTCACTTTTATGCTTTAGATAATTGGCATTAAGTCGCGCCTGTACGATTATCGTTTTAAAAAAGACTCAAAATAGCTTTTATGCCTTATATTTTTTTACATTTTAACTAATTATTTACATTAAGTGGGACTAGATACGAGCAGGTTTGTACAGATTTTTCTTTGTTTTCGCTCGAAAACACGTGACTGCCTTTTTTAAAAACGTAAGTCACGTGACTAAGAGTGCCACTCATGTGAGCAGAAGCCTCAAAACTTACCTCCGTCTTCTTGATCCAAGTAAAATCTTCGCTCATTCTCGCTCATCTTCTCGTAAAGATGAAGCGTAGACTTTAAAGAAAAATAAAAAAAAGTATAAAATTTTGATTAATTTCATATCCTTGATTTATTATCTAATTAATGAATAACTTTATAAATAATAAAAACAAAGAGTTCAAGGTTCAATTATTACATCAAATTTATCCTTCTATAGGACCATAATAGAAAAATTACGACATTAAATCAAGTTGATTAAACCTTTTCTGACACGATAACCTCGAATTTCTTTTTTACTTCAGCATCTTCTTCAGAGTTGTAACTCGAAGCGACCCTCTTATATAAATAGTTAAGGGTGACAGAATCCGCACGTGATAATTTCCTCCCTGTCTAATTTAGAGGTCAGACTCCTCACGTTTCCACCCCCTGCTAAGTGACATCAAAGAAAATCTTTTTTTTCCTCCTCCTTTTTTTAAAAGCAATGCTTGTTTTGTATATCGGAGTTAACGAGGTGTCGAAAAACGTTTCTTCTTCTTTTCTAACGTTTCTCTAACGCTTCCTCCGTATAATTACATCTATTTGGTTGCTGATATAATTATTAAATCTACTTTTAAGCTTTTGCTTAATTTACCATTAAAGAGCATGTTTTTTTGCACAGTTCTCTTGTACTTCACTTCTTGCCAACCAGAAAAAATGCTTTCTTAACTAATTTTTACTCCATAAAAGAGCTTTTTTCTTAATTTTTAAAAATATTTTTAGTTATTATCTCTCCTTTTCTGTAAGAACAAAATTCTCCATCTGGAAAACTGCTCTTCATAAAGAGCATCTTTAAAATTGCTTAAGTCTGTCTTCTTGCACTTCTTTTTTTCTTCAAATGAACGTAGGAGAAAGAAGAGCATTTGAAGGAAGAGCCGGGAGAAAGAAGAATTTTTACTAGAAAACATCTCTCTAAAGAGCATAAAATTTCTAGAAGCAATGTTATTTTTATTCTCTCCCTTTCTGAAAAGCGTATTTGTTTCTGTATTAACTAGATGATTTTGATCCTTCTTTTACGCTGTTTTATTTAATAACACTGTTAAGCTTCCTCAATTAATTCTTATGTTAATTAGAAAGCATTTTTGATGCAAACTCTTACTTTTCTGCTGATCAGGAGCATCCTCCTCATCTCATTTCAATCAGAAAGAACAGAGATTTAACAACTTTAAAGATACGGAGCCCCAATTACGTTTTCCTTAAGATAAATCAAATTTATTATTTAAAAAAAAATAAATTCTTTTTATCTTAATCTTCCATCTACATTCGGATAATTGATAGTTTTAACGCAGTTTGTTGCAAATTGTAGCATTAAAAAAATAATTAATCTAAACAACTTTTCACGGATGAGAAATTCCTCTAATATTTTAACTTAATGAAAGATAATTCGATTATTATTTTTCTCGAAAGATTAGAAATAAAAATTCTTAGAAGTAAAATAAAGCAGTTTTTAAGTTTTCCTCCCTTCAAGGTCACGACAAATGTTGCAGAAAGATCTCCCTCCTCCATTTCCCTTCTGGTTAGATCTTGTTAAGTGCTTCATGCTCAACAAAATGTCAATGACCCGCCATTTTTCAATCGACACATCACGTAAACAGCAATTCGAAAACCATAAATTAGCAGGAAAAATCCGATTTTACTCTCATAATTTCCGTATTTTAATCTAAAATGTGGCCGTCTACGATTCATTTGCTCTTTGTTCTTCGTATTGCATCGCGAATTGCGCTCAAAAAACGATTCACTTTTTACGTAAACTG